GGGAGAGTATTGTGTGGTCTTTAGAGGCTCTCTAGAAATTCCTCATGGGGAACACGCTGACCTCGAGGCTGACCTGTAAGCGTCAGCTTTTATGTGTGGCTGTGCCGGGGAGGCTGCCATGGGCATTTGTTTATGAAACTGTGCGCCGCCTGAGTATCGCTAATCCTGCCAGGTGCTTAGCAGAGCCGCTGCATAAAACTTGATAGGTGTATTTCAGTCTTTGGTGCAAGTTTAGCTCATCAGTTCTTTAGTTTCTGCTTGATGCAAGCACCTCATTGTGAGGTATTTCTTTGACTTATATACATCTATGTATAAGGAACACACAGATTAAGTATCAGCACTACTAAGGAGCTGCAGTAAATGTCAGCATGCAATAAAAAGGTTTAAAAAGTGCTAACGTGCCGCTTAAAAAGGCTTTAAGTAATTACATTATATGGTTAATATCCCTTCAAGGGTTGATATCTAATTTTTCTAAGAGAAAAAAGAAATAAAGAATTCTTCAATTATTCTTATGTTAATCTAACTATAAGCTGATTTATTAATTATTCAACTCTAAATACTTAAGAATGTCATATTAAGGTGTTATATCAAGTTTATCACATAGACACATTATTTAAAAAAATAAAATAACATCAGTTTTGCTATAATTTGCTACAAGAGCCTTTTTACATGACATGGGGGAAATGTAGCTGATTTGAGCTTTGACCTGTGACCTTTCCCTTCTCTCAGGAGACAGGAGACTGTCGGTCACATCAGTGGGCTGTCCTCTCCAGTTAGAGGCTGCAGCTACAGGAGAGGATTAATGTGTTCACATTGGCTGGTCAGACTTTGTTTAAATCCCCAGGCGTTTCCAGAGGAAGGCCTCCCAGCTAAGGAAAGCCTAACCTGTCCCATCAAGCAGAACACAGCTAATCATAGTCAGGTTTTTTTCCCCCCTAAACAGACTGTAATAAGGTTTCTAAGTCAGGCTGAAACAGTCAAAATAAAAAGCATAGGCAGATCATACTTTGTTGTATCTCATGTGTACTCACAGTCTTTGTATTTAGAACAAGCACAACCTGCAGTGCCAGAGCTTTAATAAATCAAAGTTTTTTCTGGCAATAAATCTGTCGAAGCCAAAAAAAGCCAATTAATGCTACAGTGTTTGTCAGTGTGTTAATGTGTGTGCGTGTGTGTGTGCGTGTGTGTGTGTGTGTTTACCATCTGGACTGACTGAATGGATTTATTAAGAACTGTAAACCTCTCCTCCTACAAATACAATTTCATGCTGGGACTTGTAGCTACCCCGATAAGATTCACAAGAAACAGCAGATGCACTTCAAGTATTTCACCCACACAAACACAGGACCCACACACCTTCACACAATGCAAAGTGAAAATGTAATTTCTACACTTCCCCTTGGTCAGAATCAGAACCAGATATAGAAACAGCATTATTGGCCAGGTTCATGTGCAACAGTTGGCTTTTGACTCTCACTTGACAGACACAAGAATAGCAAAGTGTAACACAATCATTTCTACTAAACTGCTATCTACTCTATAGATGTAAATATATACCCAACGAAAGTGTACTAAAGAGGCCGTTTTATAGTACAACACTTTAGACATGACTTATCTCAGTTTTAACCACAGAGCAAACTTTCTCCGCCGTTGATCTTGCGTCAGATCAATAACAAATGACTTGTTGTTTCATACGTCTGCGTGATGTGAAACATGCTCCCACTAACAGCTCATGCAAAAGCAGGCCCTTAATTCTTGCCCTGAGGTAAAGACGCATCCGGCCCGTCAAGAGAAGAATGAGGGGCATTGTGCAAACCATCTTCGAGAGATGTGGTAGAAAAGTGTTACAATTTATATTATCTGAAACAGGAAACATGAACTTTACTCTTCTGAACATGTTTTTGTAAATACAACGGCACCCAGATGAAGGGAGTGTTTTTTTGTTTTTTACTATCAACATTCTGTTTATGCTTTCTGTTTCTTTCCTAAGTTGTTATGTAATCAAATGCTGATCTGGTCAAATAACTCCTCCAGGGATTGATAAGGCCTGTTTATGGGCTGAGGCGACAGGGAGTTAAGGAGGATTATATGTGAGTGGTCGCTGCAGTTATTTAGCCTACCTCCCTCCTCGTAGACACTGAGCTCATTCCACTATGGTTATTAGTTCAGCGCTGTGTCTGATTTTAGAGAGTGAGGCTGTTGTGCTAGCACAATTGAGATCCTTCTTCTTTTTTTTTTTTTTGTTTAACCGCATCCTGACTAATGATTACTTAACGCAATGTTCTGTCTCCTGCATTGTGTGCTTTTATTGGCTTCTTCTTCCCCAGTCAGGAAAGTTGTCTTGTAAGCACATAATCTTTCCTCCCTAAGAGGATTCCTAACTTTTTTATAGAGTGAAAATAATATCTGTTTACCCCCAAACCAAGGTGGGACTATAAACAAAAAAAAACAGAGAAGAGGAACGTGATTCTGGTGTTATGGTGGGAAAACAGTGCAGATATCTAAATGAGCAACAGCCATATCAGGGTAATAACGGCCATTTCCTCCTTAATTCATCCTCTGAGCACATGCAAGGAAAATGGTTGATTATCTCTCTCCTCCCCCCCACCCCACCGCCTCCAACTCCCCCTCAAGATCCATTTAGGGGGACAGGCGCTTCCCTTGTCATGTGATCAGGAGCTGTGGAGTGAATCTGAGGACGAGGACGCCCCCCCCAACCCCGCACAAGCTCCTCTTCCCCGAAAGCACACACACATACTGAGGTCCCAGGCAGAAATCACTCCTGACACGAGTTCTCAACACACCAGAGGCTCTCCAGTCAGTTGGGAATGACAGCACTTCAAAGCAGTCATTAAGAGGTTCAGTGGAGAAAACATGCTGGATTTACCACAGGGGAACCTAAAGCTATAAGTTACAGGCTACTTGTTTTTGTCTCCACTAAGAATCGGAGCATGGCACTGACTGTCATGACCCTGACGGATGCAGCGTCTTAGCCAAAACATTCATTTTTTTGTAACCCTGTGTAACCGCATTCAAGCAGTCACTTGAAAAACACTTTATTTATCTGTAGAATATCCAAGGCCGTTTTGAAGAACTCTAACTAAGAAGATAGACATTTTTGATAAGAAAAGGGATGGAAATGGTGAAATCTTAGCAGCTTAAATATTCACCTACTAATAAAAACAAACACTACAGATTCCCAGATCCTCGGCGACTCTTTACATGAGCACTTTGATGCCCGCTGCTTTCTGACATTATAGCAGAGCATTGCAACACAGAACGTATATATGTGATGGCAAACAGTGTGGCGTCTGTGTTTTCTCACCCCCGCAGCCTGCTGAGAAGGAGAGGTCAGGCTGATTAGATAACTGTTGTAACTTGTGTACGCAGAGGAGCCTGCTGGGCCCATGTGAGGGGTCCCATCTCTGATACGGAGGACTCATAAAACTATGATACTTAAGTGTATACAGAGCTTCATGTTATGGTAAGAAACAAGCTCATTGTTGAATGGGAACAAGGTAGAGACTCTTGGAAGTTACATCAGTTATTTAGAATGAGGAAGAGGCTTATATTCATATTCTTAGAGTGTAAGTATTAAGTAAGAATTACATTTCCTTCCTACATTCAAATGCTCTTGTGTCAGATTGTTGTGAAAAGCTTGCATGACCTTTGTTTTTACACAAAGGTTTTGTAGGTTTTGCATTTGCACTGCTGTACCTTTGCCTGTTCCTCTCTGTCTCTGCCCTGACTTTTGACCTACATGAAAACAGCCGCGAACAGCTGCTTGTCTGATGTGTGTGCTGAATACACACCGTCTCACTCCTTCACACATTTATCGTAATTTGATCAGTGATATGTTCTTCAGAAGAGACGATAAGATGTCAGAGCAGTCCTGAAGTCTCGGCCGTATTGTAGCTATCCAGTCAAAGATGCGTGCAAGACAAAAAACTTGCCCGAGTGTGGAATAGGTCTTGTTTGTTTTCACAACAGCCTGGTCTTTAACCCCGTCCTTGACTTGCTCACATGGCCTGAGAAGCAGAGTTATAGGTGCGGTATGAATAAAGAGCCGCTGACCGACCCTCAGGCTATGTCAATAAAGTTAGAGCACCATGTGCTTCATGTTATTCACTCTCACGCTGTGTGCACTCCTCACTGATGGCAGATCACTTGTAAATTAGTCCACAGCAGGACAAACATTTCACACATCTGTTTTTCTAGTATACTGCGAGCAGGACTGGCTTTTTTAATATTTACTTTCATTCAAATTAGACTTTGATGTAGTTGGGGTTTTTTTTTTTCAAACACTAAAAGGGTGTATTATAATTTCAAGCTACATGACTGTTTGAATTATAATCCTTTGTTGATCAAAGGCATCCTGATTGATTGTGTAGCTGTACTGACTGTACTGTGCTGGAGAAGAAGAGCAGCCTCGTCTGTGAAGATATTAAAAACACCATGTTCTTGTGGAGGAGGAAACGGGATGATAAAATGAAATTCCTCCCTGGGTTAAGATAAACAAAAGACCCTCCACCGCTTTAAATCCTCTCTCATATATCTGTTTTATGTTTGATCAGGCATCATTATGGTAAACAGAGGAATTACTCTGTTCTTTGCTCACTGCGTCTTACCACATGCTTCTCTATTGAATGTTTGCCTGGAAATGTGAGTAGTGTGTTTGTCAGCTTCCCTTAATAAATACTTCCTCTCCTCAAGCACTGGTTGCCACACAGGAAGCTGACACTCCCTAGAGGGAGTCAGACAGACTCCATCAGACATTCTACTTCCACTTCTTCCCCTCTTCATTTGCATGCAGGACAAACAAACACTACAGAAGACGTTTAGCAATTAAACGGTTTGAGGTCACGCTTGTCAAGTGATCCTGTGATGTTTAAAAGTAGATAAACAGGTATTCTAGCCAAAAAATATCTACTTTAGGCCAAAATAAAGTATGTATTCCAGCATCAAGAGATAAAAAGGACAAAAGGTTCCAGATGCAATTGTTTGTTTTAGACAGTACATGACTTTTATTCATTACTGTATCACGAGTGCAGTAAGTTAAAGTCTGTCAGTGCATTCAAAGGTCAATGAAGACAATGAGTCTAAAGAAATGCCACAGCAACAAAGAAGGCACTTTTGTGACCTATTTGTGAGTCAAAAAAAAAAAAAAAAAAAAAACAGAGCCCTGTACAGTGAAAAGCTTGATATAACTTTATGTTAATTTAATAGATAATATTCTAAAGTTAGCACCACAACTTACCATGGAAATGTACAGATACACAGGCACATGTTGCATTCAATATATGACAGATGTCCTGCTGTTCAGTGATAACATTCCCTTCCAGGTCACTGACAGAGTAATTGTGCTTAACACAATTACAGTATATTCCACAGGAAAGGGAAATTACTAAGTAGATAAAACAGATCCACAGATGTGAACAAAGGGTCATGTAGCATTAATACTGCAGAGCCCAGGCTGTCATCGGCAGGCCCAAACATTCGCCCTGAGATGAAGATAATACTTCTTTGGCAGGTGCTTCAGAAAGCACTCCAAGAAAATCCATTCCCATTGTCTCAAGGAGGTTTGTTTTTCTATGGAAGGATTTCAATATCTTTGATGTTGAGTGTCACACTGAGGACTCATTGTGGAAGACTTTAGCTTTGATATTCTTCAGGCTGCAGTGCAGGTTGGAGCTGGTTTCTGACTGCAGGGCCTCGGAGAACTTGACGTCATACAAACGGCTGACCTGAGACTTCCTCTTGATGGAGTTCTGGATGGTCTCTGAGGTGAAGTAGTAAATAATGGGATCAAAGCAGCAGTTGGATACGGCAATGCAGAGGGCTATTGGGTAGATGGTTCGGACCACTGACTCCGCAAAGCATCCTTTTAAAGTTTTGGTGCGGACCAGAGAGTAGAAAATCAAGTTTACATTGTAGGGGATGAAGCAAAAACAAAAAATACAGAGGTGCACAATTATCATTCGCAAAATCTTTGTCTTGTTCAGCTTCCCCCCTCGACTGATGGTCTGGGGGCTACGCAGGGTCTGAAGCACCATGATGGAGCAACAAACATTGAGTAGAAGAGGGATGATGAAGCCCACTGTCTCTATGAAGATCACCACCTTGGATAGGTGAGATTTCCACTGCTTGGAGGAGAAGTTCTCGAAGCAGAAAGTGGAATTGGAGTCATTGTTGCTACGTGAAGTGGTCTCTAACATGAACCCTGTGGGCAGACTCCCCGAGAGCACCAGCACCCAGACAGCAATACACACTATCCTCGCGTTTCTCTTGGTCCTGATCGCCCTCGAGCGGAAAGGGTGCACAATGGCTAAAAAACGATCCACGCTGATGCAGGTGAGGAAGAGAATGCTGCCGTACATGTTGGTGTAGAAGAGCGAGACGGAGAACTTGCAGAGCACGCTCCCGAAAGGCCAGCTCTGGTTGATGAAGTAGAAGACCCTCAGAGGCAGGGTGAAGACAAACAGCAGGTCAGACACCACCAGGTTCATCATGTAGGTGGTGGTTTCATTCCTCAGCTTCAGAGAGCAGGTGAATATGTAGATGGCCACAACATTGGTGATGAGTCCCACCACAAACACAATACTGAACACAGTACTGTACAGCGGGTACTTGAACCCATCGTTCTTGACGCAGCTGGAGTTGTTTGCTGCGTCAGTCAGGGGGGTGTTGTTGTTCATTCTGAGAGACAAAGAGTGAAGGGATGAGGATGTCTTTTGTGTAAAATCTTGATGATAAAAGGGCTTCCCAGAGCAATTAATTCAGCATATATGGAGAGTTAATCAGAGACAGTCCTGAGCAAGGAAGCATTCAAATACACTCTGCAATTCAGGCCATAGGAAGAAAGGTTTCTTAACACAACTGTCCATGTAAGAAAGAACTGCTGCACATGGCTGACATGATTTCATCCCTTTGCTTGCTGTAGTCAGTTGGGGTTTACCTCATGTTGAAAGGACCCCTCCCAGAGGACAGAGATCCAGGCCGGAGTGTCCTCCCCTCCCCCTGCTCTGTCTCCGACCAGGCTGAACCCCAACAAGTTGCAGGCTGAGAGTACTTACTCAGATAAGCCAGTCACTTATATGTGTCTCTTTTCACAGAAGAAGTCCTCCACCACCGCAAGCCGCTTACTCCACACAAGTTAAGACGAAATATCCACACTCATATCCGTTAGAGAGATGTCCTCATGGCAAAATCCCTTCTCTTTGTCAAAACTCAGTCCTGTGTTTTTGTCCTTTTCAGTCCCAAAGCAGGAAAGTTGTCATTAGCTTTCCACCTTTCAATAAGGTCCTGCGCACAAACCACCAGACTTCTTCTCAGGAGCACAACTGAAGCTGGAGTGGAGCTCGTGCTCTCTCTGTCCGTGTGTAACAATGTGTGTGTTTGTCCACAGGGTCTGTATCCTCTCTCTCTCTCTCTTTCTCTATCCCTTTCTTTTACTCAATGACTGAGTCACTCAGTTCCTACTTCTCTCTCTCTGTTTCCTCAGTTTGTCTCTCCCTCTGACAGCCTCAAGAGCTTTGACTCAGCACACATCACGCTCAGACAGCTCTGGATCTCCTTTGTGCCGGTACCACAGACAGTTTTTGTACTTTGAGCTGGAGGGAGAGCAGCTGTAGTAACCCCTCCTACTGCCTCCCATCCAACTCCTCCTACTCCTTTGTCTGCTGCTACAGTTAAAGGAGGAATCCACCAAAACAACTCTGCATGTGAGAGGATTTATCACAATTTTACAAGCAGTGCACAAAACCAGATGGAGTACCGTCAGTTCAGTAAAAAACACATTTTGATTTATGGGTACATATTTAAAAAAATGTTTAGAGCTACTCTTAGTTAGTGAGGTGAGCAAAAAACAAATATACAGTTATTGTCATACTATTAAGTGCTAATTCAATCCTTTGTTAAGTACAAATACACCTTCAATGTTAAACTATAACGCTTCTTTAAAGCTCCTGAGAGGAGCTGGTTATTAAACAGGCCTCTATATGACCAACAGATACAAGTCTAATTAATTAACCTTTTTATTATTAATGACTGAAACTGCGATCTCCACAGCAAAGACTCTCACTGAGCGATACAATTGACTTAAAATACAGCAGGGTGAAATATATATATTTTTTAAAACATGACTTACACATGTACATGCCAAATCAGCACCAAAGTACATTTTCATCCACAATGGCACAAAAATTGATGACAACTGAAAGTTCCTCACAGGAGCTGCAGTGGACGCAACTTTCTATCTTATACTTTAAGGTCAGTTCTTTATGACTTATGGTTGTGATGCGATGAGTAAGAATCAAAGGCCTAAAATTGTAGAGATATTTGAATATAATACATTTCTTTAGCGGATAAAACAAGCAAATAAAACACATTGATATAAAGTTGTTTGCCCAACAGCTTACAAGTAAAAACAAAAATTAGGTCTGCCTTGACCAGCAGCATCATAAAATGCTGCTCAAACATTTCCGTATGACTGATAATGGTTCAAATATAGACCTGTTATTAATTAAATTGAGCCATTGTTCAGCAAAACACGTGGTCTTGTCGATTGAAGTACATTTTACTGCTGCTGCTGCTGCAGTGTCTTTACTTAAGTATGATTTTCAATGTGGGACTTGTGATGAAGTATGTTTACATTTTGATAGCACTGTTAAATCTTCCGCCCCTGTACAGCTTTACAGAGGAAGAACATAGGAAAACTCAGAGTGGCATTGTATTCAGATTGAACACAACCTCTTCTCTTATCAGTCAAGCTGTTCATAAGGACAGGAGGTCAAAGTGCATGAGAAGTGTCCAAAAAACAAAGCATGAAGTGACTGCCTCCTCAGGTCTGATCGGAGGAACAAGAAAACTGAGCTGTCTCCTTGTTTTTTTTGTTTTTTTTTGACAGCCTGTGTGGGCAGCAGCCCTGCTTAAGAAGAACAGAGTTTCCTTCTGAAAGTCGACATCAGGAATGAGACAGAACAGAGAGCTTTCTCTTTTCAGCCACTGTCAGTCCATGCCCACAGCTTTCTCTTCTCTCTGCTCTGTATGTAGTGCTCAAGTTCTCCTGTAGAAGAAAGTCCCCTCTTGGCAGGGTGTAAAAACATTGGAGCTTTTGTTGGGACTGAAGTAGCTTAGTAGGGAGGAATGTAGAGTTTATAAATAATTAGTCTGAGACAAGTTGAAAGTTCCCTCGGCTTATTGAGTTGTAGTGAGGGAAACTGTAAACCTTTGAATGTGTCATTATAACGGAATAACACTGTGTCAAATAGGAAGTATAGTACCTGCAAGGGTTTCCCCTTAGTAAATACAGACTTGAGTGGGAGATGAAAGATTGTATCTCAGCCAAATCTGCACTTTCAAGTCCCATCTGAACTAACATTACAAATATTAGACGGCTTATTCACTTGCTTTTGTATTCATTACGATAATATTTCCCCTTTTGGAACTGACTCCAGTCATACAAACATGTGGGATGTAGTTTAGGAACATGACACTGATCCAAAAATGGTTCATTTTGGACTTCAGAAGGTTACCAATAATAGCCAAACAAATGAAGGAAAATCTCACTGAGAATCAAAGAGACCGTGGGTGTTTAACGGCCACTGTGCCCCTCTTTGTCAGTTGACCACAAAATAAACATCATCAAGGCTAGAGTGAAATGTTCGAGGAACACAGAAAAACCTGTACTATTGTCTTTCACTCGCAAAATAGTTCCATCCAGCTCATAAAAACAAGCTCTTCACATGCAACTATGTGGTCGCTAAACAAAAGCATGTGCATGAAATCCCTGGACTGTTAAATTTCTCACAATGCCAGGAAACTGTCTGGCACCCCCAAGGCCAAGACTGAAGGTTTTAAAAATAAAAGAGAAAAAGGCATGTGAAGGATAGCAGGTGACATAATAATGTTGTGTAATGATCATCAGTGGCCATCAGCAGTGTACTTGAAAACATGTTACTGGAAGCAAATGGCCTAGCGTTTAGATTGTGACCCATGTATGTAGGCTATGATCCTCCAAATGGGTCCTACATGTCCTTCCCCTCTCTTTCCCAATTTCCTACTCTAGCCATTGTCCTGTCAAATATAGTAAAAACATAATAAATAATTAGAAAAATAATTTCTTTGATACAGCAAGTTTAACTTAGCAACGGTTGGCTAGGCTAACGGTTTCCAGTTTTTGTGCTAGGCTAAGCTAACTGTTAGAGGCTTCATATGAGCCTGCGAGACGTGTGAATCGTCTCAACCTTTGCAAAAAAAAAAAAGCAAACAACAGTGTAGATCAATGAATTAAAATCAGAGACTGTACATTAAGATGGACGGAATAAATGCAGCTCCTTGCAGCCTTCTCAACCGGATGAGCAGAGCAAAGAGGAGGAAAGGTGAGAGAAAAAGTAACCAAAACTAAAGAACACGGCCATCGAACTTTCCATAAGCACGTGTGTCCGCTCCCAACCGACACGAGAATCTGTTCTGCTGTGGACTGTACCGACCTGAGGGATCTTGGGTGTTTAATCAGTATGTGGAACAGAAGGAGTTTGGCTGAAGGTGTTTCTACCAACCAGCTCTCTTCTGCACATGTCTTGGTTACAAATAAGGTCGTCGGCGCAATACTTCAACACCCATCTTAGGGGTATTTTGGCTTCTCTTTTGTCGGCAGACGTAGATGGAAAACACGCTTTTCATATCAAAGTACAGTCATATATTAAAACAGAAAGCAGGTAGTTACATAACTTCTCCTTTAACAACCACACAATCAGAGCCTGTGAAACTTCCAGCATGCATTTAAAAACAAACCCAGCAGTAGCCACTTTCAGAAGCACAACATCTAGGGAGACATATTTCTTGCTCAAAGTAAACAATAATAGAGTTACAATTAACACGTATACTATCCACACGTGCTGTGCTGCGTCACTGAAACATGAAAAATGAGCAGCTCAAATAGAAACAGCAAAATGTCACGTGATGTCTAACTTGGCTATACCACAGAAAGACTCATAGAAACTCAAAGGGCATGCTTGTGGTTCATTCTCTCATGTTCAAATTCGAAACAGCCTTTTTCGACCTTTGTGCTGGTGTCCACAAATAAATAAGTAAAACCAGCCACACACGACAGCGGTTCATATATGAACAACTGGGGAGGAAGTGGTCCAGGCTAGGTTAGACTTACAGTGTACAGAAGCGCCTTTGCACTCTTACTTTTCTTCAGTAGGGACAAAAAAAAATAAAAGATGTGAGATCAAGTTTTAATAAAAGTAAACTTCAACCTTGAGAGCGATTGTATCACATGTTATTTCTAGGGATGCTTCTTGACACTAATTTAAACACCTCATGTCTACATGAGCTATGAATATTACAAAGATAGTGAGGATGACAATGTTTCTATCTTTATCGTTGTCCTAAGGGTTTAATTTATCACAAAATAAAAAAGAAACCAAAAACCTGACATTTAAAAAACTGTTATTATGAATGTGCTGCCGCTGTTCGTCTATAAAGGGCACGTTGCTCTCTCGCACACATACTGCCTTATCAAACTTAAAGCTTTGTTTTGTTAAACAAATACTTCCCGCCTACGAATATTTCATCCTCCCCCACACAAACCACGCACTGCAAGTACAATACCATAAAAATAAACTTACCGCATTGCTCAGAACTCAGAGTCTTCACTTCTTCTTTTAACCTGTCATTTGTATTTTCTTTAGTGCCAAAACAGCTCTCTTCAAGTGATGAAAGTGTCAGTATGTTATGTATGACATGCATCAATCCATTTATTTTCTTTAAATCAAATCACAACTGAAATGTACTCATTATCACGGGAAAACTATTCTACAGTCCGAAACAACCTCTATCTGAGAGTAAGTAGAAGACCAGCAAGAATCTGGAATGCGAACAAGCTCAGTGACAGGCACTGTGCAGAGAACAGATGTTTTTTTGTTTGTTTAAATCATCATCATCAACAACATCAACAGGTTTTTCATCAAACAGTGTAAAATAAACTGTATGGATTGCATGTCCACTTCAGGCTTCCATAGATATGACTGACTATTGAACAATTTGAACTGCTTATTACTGAATGAGTAACAAGACATAAAAAAAAGTCTGGTTAAAGACTGAAAGTAGAAGACACAGTACTCAGGACCAGAGTGTATGTGAACCAGTGACTGTTTGTCTAGGATCCTGTGTAGCTTACGTAAAGTCTTGTCGACAGTATGTTTGCCTTAAATTCAGCACACAGTGTTGCATGTAAGTAAATGGTATGCACCCTAAACCACAAGTCTTAAGTTAAGCTCTGCTTCGTTGAAAACCAACATGAACAGGGTCGTCCAGTTTCCTGTAACCACCAGGTCAAACTCCATGTTTGGAATTTAAAAACCTCGCCGGTCGTTCCCCTTTTCTGGATAAAACTTGGTTTACATGAATTGAGTAAATACTTCACTGCCCAGAAATAGCCACGCAGAAGGTTTCATTTTCCAGCTTCATTCATCGACATGTTTCATTGCACACTGTCATCCTGAGCTATCAGACTATAAAACTACTGATGTTGATGATGTCCTCAGGGGTAGAACAAGACAAACGGCATGCTTGAATAGCTGCAGAGCGGTGTTTGAGTTATTTCTGCGGGAAACGAAAGCCATTTAGTGTCTGTTTCACAGATACTCAAGTATGAAACTCAAAAAAGGGATCAAACACAATACCGCAGCAAAAAACACCTTCGTGCAGGTGGGTTGTGGCAGAAGATAGGCACACTTGCTCAGATGCCACACATCTTTTGCCCTGCACCTACGTGATGTGCATATAACTACCTCTCTTTTTTCCATGTAGGATGTGGTGACATTAATCTTCTGATCAATGAGTAGTCCACACAGGAGGTACTTTTTAGAAAAGACAATTCTGAACAAGAACATGTGCAGCTTTCCTCTATCAAAAACATTTCCCATGATGTAAAGCGTCATCACAGAGGCTGATGTGCTATTTTTAACCTAGACTATGCCTCGAGCATCAATACTGCGGGCCATTCTGTATGTTCAATTTGAGAACGCAAAGTCATAATCCTCGGACTACATCCCCCCTAGTAAGAATGGACAATTTTTACAACTGATGTTTTTTTTTTACTTGCATACATTTTTATAAGCTAAAACTATCGACCATAAACTACTCCAAGCAGGCACAACAAAATGTTTCTCACAAATAAATGCACTTTGCTGCAAATTCAATTCACTTTTGCAATGTGTTCTGCTGTTCTGAAATAAAGGCTCAAAATACTTTCTTTTTACGTTTTATGGTGACCAACTGAAAGTGTAATTAGCGTCCCACTTTTATCACAGGGTAGGGCGTTTTGTAAACGGCAGAGTGCCAGTTACCGTTGGCAGCTGTTTGCACTTCCTCCTGTCCAACTGTTCCACTTGTGTCAGCCATGTTGAGTCATTTTGTGTGACAATACACTTATATTTAGTCGAAGGATTTACTGGCATAACAAAGTTTGAGTTTGACTGACAGCCTTTCTCTGACTACTACACTGATTTAAGGCCCCTTGCTCTAAGAGAAACACAATAAGGTGGTCTGATGTAAAATAAAAACCCAACTAATACAAAATGACCTTTATCAAATTGCCAAAGATGCTGCTGCATTTTCAGTTCTAACACCAAATAGTCATCCACATTCTGTATCACTGTGGGGGGATCTTCCAAGTCAAATACACATTCATTAAACATCATTTGTTTTTGGAGTAGCCATTAGCTGAACCAAGTCACTAAATTAAAGTCTGTGAGCTGCTGATCTTGGCTCCAATTATGCAGAGGCATTTCGTCTGAGGATTTATTTGAGTTCAGACTGAGAGGAAGTAAAACGGACACATTCTCTTCCAGCCTATAAGAATAATTCAAAGTTTATGTTTAATACCCACATTTCTGTTGGAATGCCTTATCTTGTGAGTGTCTTATTCTGAGTGGATGATCATTTGTAACTTTCCACTTTCGGAAATAAACAGGCAAACTTCTGAGAGGTTTGGAAAATGTGTCAGTGTGTAAATATTAGTGTGTAAACTTGTGTGGGATTGTGTCTCAATGAACAGGTTCAAATCATTGTAACCTCTTCCTGTATGAATAAGATAACACTGATATGAATGCTTTTGAAGTATAACTTTAGCAAGATTCAGCTGTTCACAATTCACTGACTGGACAGGCTTTCATTTTATATCAAACATTTTTGGGGTAATGTTCAAAGGAAAATGTATCAGAAAAAATTATGAGTTTGAAAAGATATTCAAGAACAGCACACTGCCCCCTAAAGGCTGCTGGACTGCTGTGCTACACTGCTGAAGGTAAAACAGTTATAACTGGTAAAGAGTGAGAGAAAATCTTTGACAATTTTAAATTGTGCGTACATGTACTACTTACAATAATTATTGAATGTGACACCACCAATGCCAACAGAAATAACACAAGGACCACATTTTGTAGTTATTGATTTTAATATATATTTGAGATTATCAAATGTTACCATTAACATCGTTGCTAGCAGCTTACAGCATTTTCTGTACAAAATGAAAACACAGGCATTTGCAGTCATTATCAAAATGTTCCAAGAAAAACAAAACAAATAATTGGCTTGTTAAAGGAAAAGCAATTAGCTAGATCCTATCTAAACGCATTAAGGAGTTTAATGTGGAATTCTCTGCTCACTATATTTAAAGACCTTGTGGTCCTATATGAGACTTGGGCTATATTCAACACAGCTGCTGTGTAATTACACTAAGTCTCTGTCATAATCACAACGTGCTACCAGGGGAGACGTATAAAGAAACGCTTGTAAAAAGAACCGGAAGATTGCTGCCAACATATAAACAATTTGAAAAAAAAAAAAAAAAAAAAACAACAGACAAACTTTTGTAAACATTCCAAACTGCAATGACAGCGACTGTGAAATCAGCTGCACGTACAGCTTTACATCAACAACAGGCTACACAGGAATCCATTTTTATGCTTGTGTAAAACAGACACCAGCTGCTCAGATGGGTTTGATCTGGTAAACACGCAGAGGGATGTCCAAATCTTTCTACGAGTCTAACTAACTGCACTAACTTTCATCAGTCAGCTGATAGTGGCTACAGGTACTGTCTACAGCAACACTGTGCAAATCTTACAATAGAAAGTAACAAATGTTTGGATGGCAAAGGCGAGTAACTACAAATAAAACAAAAAGTTATGTAAAAGAATGAATTTTATCATTTATCAGATTAAACCTATCGTTGTTTTTAAATAAAGTGTCAAGCAGAAGAACAGCTTGTTTTTTCCTCACGTAACACTGCTCCTCTATCCTTCTGTAGTTTGACATTCAAGGCGTCAGAAGAACGGAGAAGCACGGTCTTAAGGGTAATTCATGGCTGATTTGTTCTGGGCTGATCCCTCTCAGTATTCACTGCTGATTTTTGCACGTTTCAGTGGTATACTGTTTTCATTGTATACCATGGTATGAAACTCATTATGATTCCTTTATATTTTTAAAACTATGGTATTGAACTCTACTAATCTATGGCATTACGGTTTTGTGAAATTAGATAAGAATTAACTACAATAAACCAAATTACCAGGATGTTTTCTGAGGTGGTTATCATCACTATCGCGGCCCTACTACAGATAATGATAATGATAGATACAGTGCACTACAGTGCATAATGGGAATTGATCATTAGTGTCACTTACTGATAAAGAGCAGCCTGATGGAAATCATCTTCATGCCATGAGCCTAAAATTCAAATACATTATGAAAAGTGTTCAGCTTTTAGGAGCATCCCGTCTGAGCTGGTTCTTACTGTGATCTAACCTCTGCATTTTATCGGTCTGTTTATTCACGTGAACAAACAAATCTGAGCATTTTGGACTTAAGAGAGTGGACAGAAAGAGGACAGCTATGGCACATCTTTCTATTCAACTTCAGAGCTGTCTGCTTGTGACTGACAGACTGTTGCAACCCAATAACCACCAACGTTGACCGCTGCATTTGGTCAGTAACACAGAAGCATCGGTTAGAGGGTGTAACCTGAAACCATTTGCCTCTCCGGTGCTAACATCCGCAGCGAAAAAAAAAAAAGGCTTTGAAGTACTGAACAGCCTGATTTTTACTTTGGTCTAGGGTCAACTCTCAGGACCTCAGCGAGCTTAACCCTCATTGTGTTGCATCCATCCCCACAGGGGTGTTCTAGTCAGTTTTTGAAGGCCCCGTAGCGGCTGGCTTTACTAATGAAGTTCTTGAGCAGGTCGTGGTCCATGTCTGCAAAGGCCTGGGTCTGCGTGACAGCTGTTAGGTGGTTGACGCAAAACTTGAAGCAGAACTCCTCCAGATCCTAAAAATGAAGAGGGCTGTCTGATCAGTGCTGAGGAGTACAACTGACTAGCTACTGAGAAGGCCCCCGCCACCACGGTGTTTGACTGTGTGCCAGGGGCTATGAGCTTACCCGCGCCTCATACTTGACAGCAGCAGAGAGCAGAGTGATGGCGTTCTCCTCAGAAATGCCCCTCTTGATGGTTTCCTGGCACAACCTCTTCAGCCTCGTCTCTCGGTAGAACGTGGCCAAGTCTAGCAACCCTGAAAACAAAACAACAACAAAACAGGTGAGAGTGTTCAGGACTCCTGCACGGACTTGTTCCAGAGCTCCTCAGTGCTCTCACTGTGGTCCGTGTGAGGGCTTACCAATGGCATCCTCTGGTGGCAGGTTAATAGTGTCTGTGTACAGATACTCCAGAAAGGCTCTGTACACCAGGTATGAGAACTGGTGAATTTCTATGGTGTCCTCGTCTGTTTCATTCAGCAGTGCACGGAAATGCTCACACCTGGAGAGGGAGGGGAAAGGAGCGGATTACTTCAGCATGTTAGCCTGGTCATTACATAGTGACTCAGAAAGCAGGAAAAAGAGATATACATTATTTAATAAGTTAGTTAATGAGCTTTAACTTGCAAAAGCGTAGCTATGGTCTGCGGGACACGGAGACGTCTTATTTCTTTCCTTCTGTAAATTCTGTGTGTGTCTTGTGCGTATTTAGCTGTTGTAGCTCAGAGTGTTTGCAATCATCTGTCCTCACAATCTGTTGGATTTTGGTGTAAATCTTGTTCTTCTTCCAAAATTTCTTTCTATTGGAGTCCAAAAAGTTTAGCATCTTGAACAGGTATAAAGAAACGTTATTTGTCTTCTTTAACGCGTGTCAAGGTAAGAATAAAATGTATTATTCATATATTCTCGGGAGATTACTTAAGATTCACTCTAATTCATTCCTGAGGCAAATCAGAGGCACTTTGCCAACAGCCTTTTTCCATATTTCTTCCTTATGAGCGAGAGCATTATGAACACTCATTACCATGTTTCTCCCCCCCCCCCCCCACTGGTAATCTCTACTGCCTCAGAACACAGCCTCTCTACTGTTTGTTCTCAGGACATGGTTAGAAAAAACACCAGAGTTCTTTTTAATTCTCAAAGTGCATCTTAAACACATCGTTTGCATGTGATCTGCGTGTGCACTGAGGTTGTCGTCGCAGACAGTCTGGCTCCGTCCTTCTGACAGTGCAAAGAGCAGGGGACTGGAATTTAGATACTTTGTGTCCAAGTGTGGTTATAAAAAGAAAAGCGGAAAACAATAGGTCTGTCTTTGCTTCCCCCTGACATTAACAGGAAAGACGAGGAAACCCTGTCCCACAGATGGAGGTTAAATTTAGGCAACACATCATCCAGTGTGCATACATTTACATTTACATTACCAGAGAGGGAGATGACTCCTTGTGTTCATGTTTAAGACTAATGCCGGATGTGGATGTTTTCATTTTATTTTTCAATAATTTTCCATTATTTTTCCATAATCAGCCTTCAACCAATTCTCAAATGTCAAAGTGTATTTCTGTTACCATGGAAATTTCAGTTTGGTCGGTCATGAAAAAGCACTCATGACTGTGAAAAATAAACTCGTGACCAAAATGAAAGTCAGGATGGAGAAGTGGGCTAAAGAGTGGCTAAATAACCGAGAGGAAAGCCTGTAGACAGATTCTTTGTAGGGTTTTAAAGCTAACCACACACACACAGAAACTACCGAAGTTGGCCTATGATTGTACAGCCATGGTGCTGTTTTTGTGCTTTTCTTTTCTAGACTTAAATTTAATTAACCTTTTCGAAAAAGAAAAATATATGAATTTGCGAAATAAACACAATAACCAAGGAGCACCTGTTGAAGATTTTAGTTTGGACTTTGGGCTTCCTTGTTCTCTGTACCTGATTTTCAGCAGGGCTTTGTGAACGTGGATACACTTCCCATCAACCAAGAACTTCAGGTCTGAAATCTCCGGACTGTCAAACTCTTTCTTCAAAGACTGGGCCACAGTCAGGTAGTCATCACCATCTGGCAAAAAAATAAAGGAAAGTCCTTTTTGCTTCATTTTCTTCTAATGAAAAATTACAGGAAAATATTTTCTTTAATATGGTAAGGACCGTCATAAAAGCTGGATAAGACTTTTTTAACATTCCTCCAACAACTGAAGTGTTTCTCTGTAAGGATATAGCACCTATGTAAAGGCTCCTCACTCACATTCTTCATAAAATCAAATCAACTAAATAACAATTTCAGGCGCTGCAGTATAACTTTATGTAGTTCTCTTGGTGAAAAAACTCAAATGAATGACAAATTCAGTAGAAGTACTTCTGTGTCCCTCTAGAACTAGAGATGAACAAGTTACAGCAGACTGGAATAGACTGCATTGATTTGAGCTCTGCGTATTTCAGTGGCTTTTTAGTTTACTGATTATCCAGAGGAGATGATTGATTAACTTTACAAAACAAAATGTAAACACAGAGTGAAGTTTCCAAAGCACTCCAAATGTGATCAATCTGTACAAATATGATGTTTGGTGTGGGCAGGAAACAGACTTTCCTGTTTGTTTCTTGGACCAATTCTTGGAATTTGTGTCAACAACAGACGTTGTCCACTTCATGGCATGATGACCTCTCACCAGTGACAGGTGAAGAAAAATGAACCCACTGTAAATATTCAGGAAGTCTGAATCCCACAACTTTTCTTTTCTTAATTGAAATCTTTCCATTCTGATCATACGCTCACCTACTGAGAGGAGGTGCCACGTGACTGCTGGTGTGGCAAAGCAGGCAAACACATCGTCAGTGGTGCTGAAATGGGTGAGGTGGGGGCTGGCCACAGCCTGCCCACGACACTGACCCCACATCAGAACCTGCCCACTCTGGGTCTTGGCAGCTGACGTGTGACTGGTGTGACATGCAGCCACCTCCACCATCCTAGTCACAAAAACAGAATTAAACATCAAGTAGTACTCATGAACAGTCTTCTCATGTAGTCTGTGTGCTGTAGTAATGTGGCTGGTAAAGAGAAAAAACTGTTTTCTATCATAAACAAAAGAAGCCCTAAAGAACCAAAGAGTCAGATGTCCAATGAGCATTTCTTAGCTTTTAATACTTCTCCAATGTCATGAGTCAATGTGGTGTTAAAACATTAATGGCTTCAAGGAATGTATCACCTATAAACATCCCTTCCTTAGGGTCTTGTCATGTAGCTCTCAGTGACTTGCTGTGATTGCAGGGAGGAGTGCTGCATATTGAGGTCTAAACCCAAGGTGCTTACCTCTCCTTGTCTGTGTTTATCAGAGTGGGGAGAGCTTGGTTACTCTTATTTCCTGTTCCCAACTGCCCATACGAGTTGGCTCCCCAGGCGTAAACAAACCCTTCATCTGTAAGTGCCAATGTGTGTGCATATCCACAGGACACCTGTGTATGGAAGGACGAGTAGCTGAATGTTCACTGAATATATAAACAGAACCACAGCGAGACGGCTCACACCAGGCTCTTACCTGCACGATGTTGACTCCTTGAAGAGCAGCGATCCTGCAAGGGGTCTGCTGATTTCCATTGTTGCCCAAGCCTAGTTGTCCATTGCAATTGTAGCCCCAACCATAGATCTACAAACAGGGGACAAACCCAGCTTTAATCAAGGACATCGGTATTCACTTAATAGGAAAACGTGAGTTGATTTCTTTTAGAAAATTGCTTTACCCATATTAGTGGAAGAACAGGCTTTAAATGGTTGGAAGCTATCATTTGAGATAATTAGCAACATAGAGCAATATTTCCCTTCTTCATGCAAAACTTCCACAGATTCATGTGACCTATTACCTCTCCATTGTCCAGTACAGCCATAGAGCAGAGCTGACCGCAGGCTATGTTCACCACCACTTTGTTCTGCAGGCAGCTGCTGACCCGGCGAGGTGTCGGCTGGTTGGCAGTTGAGCCTGAACCTACTTGGCCTGAGTTGTTGTAACCCCATGCGTAGACCTGAAATGCAGAGATAAATGTCCATGGTGAACAGAAAGTCACAGACTTACACAAAGAAACTAATGACAGAACACAACCCATGTTCGTTTACCTCTCCATCAGTCGTGAGGGCAATACTGTGATGTGAGCCACAGGCCACTTCGGTCACTCTCTTGCTTAGAAGGTTGGTGGACACGAGGGCAGGGGTCAGTCCATGGTTGGTGGTCCCGTTGCCCAGCTGGCTGTAGCCATTATGGCCCCAAGCAAACACCTCTCCATCTACACAGAAGCAGGGAAACTTTCATTCATGTTGCCTCAGTGGTTAATATTTAATTAACAGATAACAAACAGTTGACTTCACATGGTTTACAAGCCGTCGGAATAAAATGCACAATCTTTGTTCCAAATATTAAAATATAAGCACCATCAATAAAACCTGACCTGGAATCTTTCATTGTGACATTAATAAAACAGGTTTTGTGATAAAATAACTGATGATGACAACAAGTAAATCAATGTTTGTGATGTTTCCAGATGCTGTAAAAGTTTTGGCTTTACCTGTTATTTGGGTTAAACTGAAAATGTATGAAATCTTATTGGTTATTTAACAGTTACATTATCTATGTATGTACTCCTCATTCTATGCTCAAGACTAGATTGGACCAGTCAGGCTTGCAGAGATTGTCTAATGTTTGACTAGTTGAGACAAAATACAGAAAAGCCACCTCTGGAAAACACAGTTATAGTTGAATGTAGAGAGGCAAACCTGCCACTTATAAGAGACTTTTTATGTTTTAAATGAAAAGATTTTTGATCATGTGTGACCAGCAATGACACAGCATTACCATAAATCCAGACTCATTTACATGTGCCATATTCCTGATGATATAACATTCCTATGCCTCCGGAAGTGACTCTTCCTTCAGGGACAAATACGTTTTTTGAACTGGATCACCTGAAGTAGCGATAACCACATGTGGTCCTGTTCCGTAGCTCAGGGACACAATCTTCTTTCCACACAAGACATCAATCCTGCGCGGCTCAATAGTGCTCTGAAGGTCTCCGAGACCTAAACAGCCACTGCAGTTGGTGCCCAAAGCAAATACCTGTGAAGAGCAAAATGTACGGATGAAATGGTGCTCGTGTCAACAAATGATACATGAATTTATCATTCTCATGTTAACTGATAAATTCAGATAGTCCAGAAAACATGTAATATTAAGTGAGACGATACACTATAGGAGTCAACTTATATATATATTTTTTTTAAATGTGCCTCACTGATACAATTATCAAATCTGTCTTAATTGCCTGAATAAATAAATTGTCTATTTATTTAAATTCCCATCAAAATGAATCAGCATTTGCGAATAAAGTTTAATTTTTTGTGTGACTATGTTTTTTAGAATCTGATTTCCAAGAATATTTGTGAGCTTTACCAAGTAATATAGTCTATATATAATATTTTTTACACCAAAACTGACTGCTCCAAATCATAACCTGTTTGGGCCACAGGGACAAACATATGAGAGAGGGTGGAAAGATGAGGCATGCTCTACACCTCTCCACGGGATAAAAATGGAGCTTGCCCGGGTATTAGGCCTGTATGGCTAAAGATAGCCTCATTCTATCTGCTTATCCCTGAAAATGGAACCGCAACCTGTGTCAGTCTGAGAGTGAGAGGCCTGCAGTATTGTTCCATCAAGTTCTCAATAAAAAAAATATGAAAACTGTCTAATGAAAGGACAGTCTATTACAACCAGTAACACATTTCAACGTAAACAAGAGGATTAAATCATCCTTGCTTAAAGCCCAGGTCTTACCTCATCATTAACTGTGACATACAGGGCTTCATTTGCAGCACTGCCAAAGACACAAGCCTGCCGGATAAGCCGTAGCTCCTCAGGAGGAAGGAGGGCAAACACAGGCCACTTCCCCACGTCCAGCATACTACTCAGCTGTGAAACAAAGAGAACAAACACAATTAAACAGATGTGAAAATCAGTCATCCGGGTATTTTCTATAAAAACAAAGCAAGTGGGAATTCACGTTTAAAGTTGGAATGATCAGAAACAAATATATTTTGCTTCTTCATCTAACCTAAGAACTCACTTTAAGTATTGTAAGGTTAAATAAAAGTCTCCGTCAAGCAAAAAGTAGGCATGTGAAGTTGACTCGTTAAAAAAATGTGTGCTCTGGTTAATACCCGTTTCATTGAATACAAACACTGCTAATGTACAGAACGGTTCATTAAAATAACTAAACAATATATGGAAAAATCACAGGAGGCCCTAAGTTGATGGGTGCCAAAACAAAACATGTTACAGAGTGGTAATAAAGTCTTCCTTTTCAGTCTGTGGCAGCAAATCCAGAAAGTTAAAATAAGGGCTTCAAAAGGTTTTTCATGATTCAAATCTGCCCAGCACAGTCTAAACCCGGGCACGGAGCCCAGTTTTGTAGACATTAAGATTAAAACACAAGCTGTTGACTGAGGTAAACCCATTTAAATGTGTGACGAGAAGAATGAAGTCCACCTTAGGTCACCTCTACATCCTTCTTTAAACCATATGTAAAGCTGGGCGCAATGTTTCCAATACAACAGTCATATTATAGGTCAAGCCTATAATTATGGTGTAAGTCGACCTCAGGGTGGTATATCCAGCTTATAGTGGTATATCCAGTTTATAGTGGTATATCCAGTTTATAGTGGTATATCCAGCTGATAGAAATCGATTTTAAATTGGTAACTGGGGTCCTGTATTTACAGAGATTATCTGCTGAGCTTGACTTTTTTTTTTTTTTCCAAGTCCAAAATGAGTTAATAAAACTTACTTTCCTTCTCCATGCACACATCACTTTTACATACAACAGTCATATATATATAAAACTCACTTTCCTTCTCCATGCACACATTACTTTTACATACAACAGTCATATATAAAACACTTCAATTGTCTCTTTAAAATGACTTGTTTTCCAGAAGTTCCTGTCACAGTTGTCAACATTATTTTGTTTTTCAGTGCACCATAACATGAAGTAGAACTTAGTATGAACCCAGATTTAGCAGCACACCGCTGTATTGAGGAGTCCAGCCCTTGAAATCCAAGAAATGCCGAAGAGGACACAAATAAACATCACAAAACAAAAAGGGCGTGTTGCATTATAAGACATGTAGACAGGGTTTGCCGGAAAGCAGCATACATGTTACAAATGTGTTGTTTTTTTTACCAACTGTGTAAGTGTTACACTGACACAACTATTAAGATAAGTTAATTAGTGTACAGTGTTGTTGTTGTTGCTGTGAGCAGCTAACAGTTCAAACTGCAGACATTACCTTGCTGTTGTTCTAGCTAGTGTTTTGTCCGCGATGTCGTTTTCTATTCCCTGCACACTCAACCATTTGCCTTTTTCCAGCAAACATAATTGACGAGTCAAGGTGCTGGTGGGCTCATCTCGGGGGAAATGGTGTGACTTTAGCTTCTCATTAAATTGCACCTTGTTGTAGTTAGCTTGGATCGCTGCACAAACCGAGCGACAAAAACACACGACAGTCTTACTTCCTGTACTTCAGTGGTGCGTTCACTGACACTCGGAGCTGGGAGGCTTCAATACCTAGTGTAGTATTGTACTGTGTACAATGCATGAAACAATTTGTAAAAAAATATAAAAAAAAATGCATTATGATTAGTATTTACATTTAAAAGTCCCATTACAGATTGATTTACCCACTTTATGTGAAGAACGGAGCAATAACCCTGATTAAGACAAGATTGGAAAAGAGTTTCCTATATTGCGAAATTATTTTGCTCCATATTTAATTTACATTACCTACACTATATTATTTATAGGCACCTTATTTTTTATTCTTCCTCAGTTGAATGTGATGCAGATGCACTTACAAGGCTGTTACTCTGTCACTATTCAGATGAGTCATGTTCCCTTTGCCAACCTTGTTTTCCTTCAAAGTCGATTCTTCTAAGTCTTACATTTTCAGTTTCACTACCATAATACTGCACGTCTGTATTGGAGACTGTTCTATAAGATATATAAGTCAAACACCTGAGGGTACATTTTGGGAGTCTGGTTCCATGTTTACAACTTACATGCTCTGTTCTTATTATTCATGGAAACCCCTTACTGGATATAGAAGACTAAAAAGCAAAAAGTAATGATACAACAGAGAATAAGAAACCATCAGTTTTCTCCAAGGGGCCAAAAGGGAATTGCACATTGTACGCGTTCGTTTGATCAATGCAATGGAAGAGGACTCCTTTATTACTCCAAATTCATCAAACTAATTTGTCAGTAACAGCACTGTACGCCTTTAAAAAGTCCAGCAGATGGAGCCATGGATAGCTTAGTCTTAATGCATATCCGTGCATGACACCTTGCACGTATGACTGCCAAAGCTTTACTTCTTTGTTCTTATTTCAATTAAGTGGTATGTTAATAAGTAAATGTGTGACTTAGAAAACACACTGTGGGGGTATAATCACTAATATGCCTATTACAAATGACATTGTAATGCTACAAAAAAAAATTCCCCATTTTCCTATTGCACGTTTGGATTGTTAAATAAATCACAATATGCACATGTATGTGCACATGTGTGTTTCTTGGATAAAATAATATAACTTAAATGCAATTGTAATGCTACTAACTGTAATGCGGTCTCTGAAACTTGTTGTTTTTCTGTCCCCCAGAACTGTAAACAATAATTATTTTCGATAAAAGATTGCGTTTTCAGCGTTGTTATGTTTAATTGTCCAATTAAAAAAATGCAATAGGCCTATGTGAAAATGATTTTCAATCCATTAATGCCATGTTTTCTTATCCATTCTTAATTGTTAATTCTCAGCAATGAGAGTTTTCTAACAGTAGGGATACATCGGGATAAATATGAATGAAATTACCCTTTAAACCCTTTAAATCAGATATTACGCTATTAAGGTGGACCGGACATTTTCGACAACAACCTGGTTTTTTTTGGTTTCGCCTTTCTCTCGGGATTTCTCAAACTCGGCAGGGAAAGACCACAGAAAAGGTCAAACACACGTAAAACTTCAGTAAATGAATTAACCATGTCAACAAGTTTCATCACGATTGACTTGCTTGAACAAACCAATTAGAGACACGTCGACCTAAAAGTCTCCCTTAAAATAAATAACGGAAGCGGACTGAAAAAAAAAAAAAATCAGTATAACGTCATGATACTGGCTATGCTCTTGAAGTACTAATCAATACAACCTGAAATATATTATAAAAAAAAAAGTGTATGCATGTCTACAATAAATGTTTCTCTTCGCTACCCTGGAATTCGGGATTCGTCATGAGTTGCTGTAACACGCATGCGCGCAGAGCCCCGTAAGCGATGGCGAAATTCCTGACTTTTCTGCAAGGAGCAGGGTTAGATGGAAAGTTACCTCGATAAAATTGGCAATTAAGGCTAACATTTTCGATCCTCGTTAATCACCACTTGTTGCTCACTCGTTACCTGGATCTTGTTTTGGGCGCGGTCACTTACGAGCTGTCGTAGTTTACATGACGAGGAAAGCACGTCTTCATCTTTGCTAACTATTAGCTGGGTGTAGCATTAGTAGCTTACGCTAGCATGTCACATCTCGCCTTGTCTTGTGTTCATCTATGTAGCTAGCTCAGGTGTTGCAGAAAATAGCTGGTCGTCGGAGCACGCTTGACGGTAAAAAAAAACATTTCATGGTATAGCTGCATCGGAATCATCTGTGTGCATCGGCGTGTCAGTGAAGTGACTGAGTGAGTACAGCGTTAGCTCTCTGTAGGTTACAAACTGACTGAACACCGTTTGTTTACCGTGAGAAACGAGTTATAAGTGTGTTGTTTGTTACCGAGCTGACTTTAATGTTACAGTTAGATAACGAACAGCTCTTGTTCTGTTAGAATTACACACCTGGAGCTGGAGTAAACAACCGACTAGTCTTCCAGGTGGCGAACCTTGTTATTTTAACTGTGGTAATTAAATAACACTAAAAAGGTGCATTTTGTTCTTGTGCACGTTTTAAAAAAAAAAAAAAACCATGCTAGACCTTGTCACATTTATTTAGACAAAAACAGGTTTAGAAAAAGGTGTAATGCTAAGTCAAATATTTGTACTGAATGAATAACCAGCTGTTAGACCAAGCCAAGCCAAGCTGGCTGACATAGGAGGATATTCTTCTATGTTTATCAGCTAAACTACTATATTAGAAATTAATAAGGAATAAATTGATAAGGAAACAGCACATTGCAAGTCATTCTCATGATATAAATAAGTACATTTGCACGCCAGGTCTGATTTCTAAAGATAAAAATAAGGATAAACTTAATTTTTGTATTGCAGCAGCTCAAGAAAACAGGAAAAAGGGATCAAATTATTAAAAATAAAAATAAAAATAAAACATATGTACATCAGTTAAATAACGAGATAACCAATATAATGGTCTGTCAATGTCTGTTTGTTAAGACTATTGACCAAACGGACAGAATATCCCATTATTCTATTGGTTCAGGGGTTTTCCGGCATCTCAACAAAACTGTAACTGAAAACCAGCTGTGTCCTTATCTACTGCTTTCAGCCACTGCAGTCAAATGTGATGTACAGTCTGGGCAACAACAGATGTTACCACAATTTCAGTATAGAAGTGATGTTTACCATGCTGGAACAGTAAAGGATGGAGTGAAGAGCAACTGCATCAGAGTTTTACAACAGGGTTTTTTTTTTTTTTTTTAGTTGTAAACTGTCAGCAATTTTTACTGCCATATATTTTCCTCCTGAGGGGAAAGTAAACACACTGTTCATATTTAGGGCGCAGGTAACGTGGCACTCCTTCAACTCTATAATTATCCACTTATCCTTTATTAAACAACATCACACCCACAAATATTTTATGGCAATACAGAGCCACCTGGGGCTTTATCAAGTTTCTGAAACGTGGGTGGTCAGGGGCATTATTAAAGAGAGTAGGGGCTTTGTTATATCAGGGACCTCCTCTTTGTATTTCTCTTCTCACCGACCCCAAGGTAGCACACGTTAGTTTGTTATTGGTAAATAATTTAAAACTAAATAGACTCAACTAACTAGATTTTATTGATTTGTCTTGTGCTGTAAAAACAAGTAAAACGCAGTGATTGGCTTTTAGGCCCAATGACCGCAGAGGGAGACGGCCTTTTTCTAAAGAATGCCAGTGACACCAGGCTAATCTCACGTTGGTCTTCCACTGTAGCAATAGTCCCCTTAAACCCAGTTCATTGACCATCACACTGTAAACTGACTGTGTTGTTTAAGCTTAAGGAGGGGAGGGGCTAAAGCTAACGGATAAGCCAGATCACTGTGAGGTTTAGGGGCGCATGCGCCGCTTTGTAATTAGGTTCAAGGACACATGTTACACTCTCTTGGTCTTCTGTTTTTTTTTTTGTTTTTTTTATGCAGAATTCTTGTTGGCCATGTCGTGGTTGTAACAATTTGTTTTCTTCTTCCCTTTTATTTGTTTATTTTATTAGTTTAGTTAACAGGGACACATGCAGTGAACATTGCTCTATTCATTAAATACGAAGTAGATGCCATGCATGCAGGTTTCTAGCCCTGGCTAATTTGCAACCCCTGTCCCTGGCTAGGCTTGTAGGATTTAAACAGAATCATTAGACTTAAAGAAATAGTGGTACTACACACATGCAGACATTATAGACTCGATACAAATACGAGACTAAATAAGACCAAAACTCTCATTTCAGTGCAGTGTTTTAAAATAAACTGTATCTCCTCATAGAGTTTGACTTAATGTTATTTATAATGTGTCTTGTGTTTGTTGATTCCTAAATTTACTAACATCATAAGCCTCATAACTTAAGTCAGCTTTCACAGCAATGTGAAGGAACACAGTGAACAGCAGTTTATACTTGTTTGTTTTGTGCAGCCTGAGAATCTTCATTCTACAACCTAGAAAATATCCCTACAAAGTCATTAAAAATGTCCCTCTCTTTTGTATATACCCCTTACACCCAAACCATCTTATAATCACTTAAAAGAGCTATTGTTACGTCACCTCCTGACAGGCATCATGCTCAACACAGTATGTCACCTGATGCCTAGTTTGTCTGTTCTTCTTACTTTATGACAAGAAAAAGCATTTCCTTTAATTCTTTAATAAGGAACATAATTGCTGGGGTTTCCAGAATAGTCTCTGTTCTACCCATTTGGTTTTATGTTGCAATTTATATAACCTAACAAGGTGCTTTTGTTTATTTGTGTCAGTAAAAAATATGATTACACTTTTGTCCTGTATAGGACTGAACATTGGCCTATCAATATCAGTTATCTATTTTTGCTGAGATATAGATGGATACAAATATAAGTTAAAACATTGAATAAATGGTCAAAAAGACAATTTTGATTAAGAAAATGTTCACATAGAATGTTAGTTTGCATCACCTTAATAAAAACCAAGAAAACCCTGGAGAGCACATATACTAGTGATAATGGATACATTCTCCGTCTCTAGTAAACAGGTTTCTGTCTCAGACAACAACACAAGTTCCAATGACTTTTACC